AAGAAGAGACCTTCAACCCTAATCCCTTAAGAATAAGGAGGATAAAATCTCCCGGGGAGTGGGGGCGGAAATGAGACCACATAAAGACTTGGGCCCCAGTCCTTGCAGATGTGGAAACCACTGGTCCACATGTACATTTGACCAAGGTTTGACTGACTACGACTTTTCTGGGATGTGGATAATGAGCAGGCAACAAGCTGGAAAAGGAAGTCGCCCAAGCTCATAAACAGCCAAGCAGAGCCAGCCCCTGAGTCTGGAGTACTTTTCCTCTGTGTTACCACCCTTGCACTAAAGCAAGAGCTTAATAAAATTTGTCTAGAAAATTTTCTGGGTTTTTCTCTCAATTTTTATCTTGGGAAACCCAAGAACCCCATTGCCAGTGACAAAACCCTTGTACCAAACTGTTCACTGGGTATTTCAACCCATTTGTCCCAACTACTCTATCCAAATGTGAAGTTAGCTAAACAACCCCACCGTGCTCTTATGCTGTTTTCCTGAATTGCACCAACAATATTCCAGGTACCTAAGCCAGAGTCTTCTTCCTGCATCTCAATAGGCATATCCAGTCAGTTACTTCCTGGAAATCTCAAGTCTTTTCCTCTATACTCTTGTCTGCTTCATCATTCGCTCTTTGACCTGCAACAGTCCCTGTGGATTCCTTTGCATAAACCACCTGCCTTCTGTGTAAATCTTTTCTGAAAGTTCTGTTTCTTCCTCCTCAGCTACCTATCCCTGGGAATTCTATATGCCCCATACATTTTCACCCTTTTCTGAGGATATCCCATAAAGACAGGTGGTAGAATGCTATATAGAAAAGAACAAATTCTATTCCTTGAGCCTTTTTCTGATGTTCTGTTCACCTTTATTCAACCAACATTTATAGAGTACATGCTAGCTATCAAGCAATGGGTATGCAGGTAACATACTAGTACAAAGAATTCTGGAAATTAGTTAATACCAGCTATCTGTAGAGATGACCTCTGGTAAGAATGCTGGTATAGATTTGTGGAACATCCAAGTCCAAAAGTGATGAGAGTTTCCTTAGTAGTAAAATATAACAATTCTAACCCAATCGATTATCATTTCGGAAGATGCATGTGTTAATAGCTCTGGTCCACATAGAGTATAAACGGAAATTACAGCAGGATTGTCTTGTGTTTCTCCAGCACAGTATGTGTCTGCTAGACAAGTTTGTGCTATTATGGAAGGGTCCCTAGCTGTGAAAGCACCAGCCTTTTCTCAGCCTGGGTGAAATTTCTGAACACTAACTTAGTTCACATTCTGTGCTGAGTTAACTTTGCATTTATTCCATTTCAAGATAAAAATGACTGACAAACGGAGAGCCAGTTACGGGAAGATATATATATCACTAGAAGTTAGCAGATTTGCATTCTAGACTATTCCTAAATTTTCTGGTGTTTTTTGTTAGTGTGAGTCTCCAAGAAGCCAGTCAACTTTGGAAGTTCTGATGGTGTCGAGTTTTCAGACCTACAGGGTCTGAATCCAGATAGTGAGGACCCCTCCACAAGTCTGGTGTACCCCGAAAGGCGCTGCTTGAGGGACCAGCTGACTTCCCCCTCTCTGAGCTCTGATGAAATTTTTTTTTTTCTTTTTACTTTTATCACAGGGATCCTGTGCTGTTAGAAAAGGTGGAAGGAAAAGAAATTACACTGAATTATGTGACAAATCTTATGCTGGGGACTACCTAGGAAGTAGATATAATTTTTTTGTTTCACAGAGGAGTTAAAGGACTTGCCAAAGTCACACAGACCCTTATTAAGAACATGATTAGCACCCAGGTCTGCCTGAGTCAAAGACTTCACCACTTCACATGGTTTAAC